CAGCACTTCAGCAAAGGGGCTTCAGATGCTGACGAGAAGGTGCAACAGCCCGACAGGAGCAGGCGGAGACGGAGCAGACAGTGGACAGAAAGGAAATACAGCTAACTTTTCTGATTCTTGAAAGACCTGCATTAATCGGCTTTCCAATCATCCGGTAGAATTCCAGGTCGATTCTTTTCCTCCTGTGCAACCTCGTGGAGACCCCGAGCTGGGGGTTGGGGGCTCTCGGCAGCCGGTCCTCCGCTCTGCTGTGAAATGCTTCAGTCTGGTGTCCGTGGCGAGGACAGAGGGCAGCCGCCCTGGAGAGCCTCTGAGGGGAGGCTGGCCGATCTGAGAGGTCAAGGTCAGTCTCAACTGCAGGGCTGCCCCGCCCTCCGCCCCCCGGACCCGCCCTGACTTTGGGAGGAGGGGCTTACTAGCTCCCCCAGCATGCACACCTCCAGATGGGCTACAGGTTTGGCTTCCCTTTGTTACTTAATGTCCATCCTGAAGCCACAAAGAGGGTTGCTGTTTCTGTGAAGTCTGCACGTGCAGAGAGCACTGAGGGGTGGCCGCAGGGTCAGCTCCGGCCTGGCCTTTGATTCTTCCGGGTGTGGACGGTCTCCCCTCGGGCCCAGGTGTGAGCTACCCCTAACTGACTGAAGATCCAAAGTCGTCAGTTACGCAAAAATTCAAGAGGAGTGAAGAAAGGAGTGGGTTGGAGAATAGTGGGCGAGGGCAGCCCTCTTCTGTGACAAGTCCTGCTGACGATGTGGACGGCGGTCAGCTGCAGAGAGGACGGGCTGTGTGCTGATGTCAGGGCGGGGGCAGGAAGGCGGGTAATTGTTTCATAATAACAGTATCACCCCTGCAGTCTGGAGGGAAAGTGGGGAAAGACCAAAAGTCAGACAGTGTGAGGCCAAGCCAGCTGCGGTCGATCCTGGGCAGTCACTGGAGAAGCAGGATGCACGCGGGAGCCCGTGCTGCTGGTGGACCCTGGGTGGGGCGGATCCCCGGAGAGGTAAACAGGAGGTGTGCATGGGGGTCCAGGAAAAGCCAGGGCCCCGGGGGCAGGAGGGGTCCAGTGGCTGCACTGCCACTGCCCCCCCCCCGTCAGGTACAGGAGCCCAAAGCGTCATCCATGGGCTCTCCTTGCAGGTGTGTGAGGAGGCTGAAGCAATGGCCGGACAGGAATGTGCTGCTGATGGTAGAAGGAAGCTGACTGAGGACACGTGGGGCCGGCTCTGTGCTGAGAGCAGAGCTCCCCCACGATTTGTGCCCTGGTAGGGGGCTGACTGTCCTGAGCACTGGGGAGGGCGGGGATGGAGCGGCGGCTGCGTCGCAGAGGGCTGGCCCCAGGCTCGGGGAGTAGCAGAGGTTCCCTGCAGGCGGGGGCAGTGGGGCGGCACCTGGGCACCAGAAGAGGCAGGAGCTGTGAACGGAGCTGGGGCCTCAGCAGACAGAGGGACTGCACTGCGCTGTGTGTTCGTAGATGATTTGAAAATCACAGGATTACTCAAGAATCATTCCACCACTCTGGGTAACTGACGTGTAGACACCACCCGTAAATGTGCCTGGACAGACAGTCTTTTAGGTAACCATTTACAATTTTTCTTGCTGTATTTTTCCTTTTCCACTACGCGCTCCCCTCCAAGGAGAGAGAGCAGATACTGTTTTTGTTTTTTGTTTTGCCCATGGAGAGTACTGCAGCAAGGCTGAAAAAAGAAGTTATCTGCAAAATATTTTCCATCCTGTCTTTGGTGGTTTTAAACCTACAACCATAGAAGGGGGCGTGAGGTTTGAGGGTCCTGGAGTGGAGGGGCAGACGGATCCCGCAGCGGGTATTTGCATGTAGACGGGGACACGGCCAACCTCACAACAGGTCCTGATAGGCAGGAGTTGTTATCTCCGGATTACTGGAGTCTGGACACTGAGACGGTGTGACGGTGCGCAGTGACGTGGTGAGCCGTGATATCCCAGAGGCCTCTCTCCTGAGCTGGGCTCAGCCGTGTTCTGTCCCTGTGCGTTGATCCAGACCGGGGCTCTCGCTTCCCGGTGGAGTTATCCTCATGCAAGCTTCTCTCCTCCACTTACTTAAATTAACAGGTACAAAGAGCAGGGTGGGTCATTCTGGATAGCTTAAGTCTCATCCAAAATGAGATCCAAATAACGGAGTTATATTCTGATTCACATTCTTGTGGTCGTCTGGGGCCCTTAGAATCCTTTTTTCAACATTTGCTTATGTTTACCCTTCTGTTTTTGTCTCTTTAAAATGACTGACCTTCTAAGGACTAAGCATGGTTGACATTGAATCGACACTAGGTAAACTGTGATTAATACTGAGAAAAAATTTTTCTCACATCTCATGCCTTGAAAGCATTTTTAGTTGATCTCCGCACAACTTAGTGATATTTTACCTCACTATTATTTACTTGTCTGTTGCAGTCTAGGCTCCGTTCACCCCCCGAGTCTCTCTCTGTCTTACCCTACAAGACTGTCAGGCACAGTTCTGTGCGCTGGGGACACACATGCTCCACTCTTCTGGGCAAAACAAAGTCCCGTTCTCCTGGGCCCTCACCTTGGCCCTCAGCCTGAACGCAAGAGGTTACTAGCAGCGTTCGATTGTGCTGGATTTTACACAGAGTAGACTTGCCTGCACCTCTGCTGTGAGGAGTGTGGAGGGGGCCGGAGGGAGGGTGTGGCTGGAATGGAAAGCAAACACGAGGAAGAGAGTGGAGAAGGCAGAATAGCTTCCTCCCCTAGCTGTTTCCCAGAAACAGACCTGCAGGTTCTAGTTAAAGATGAGGGGAGACAACAAGAAAAGGGAATGCAACATGAACTAAGATTCATCACACCTGTTAAAGCTGAGGTTAAGATTCAAAATTTCAGGTCTCAGTGTAAGAGGGTTGAATCGTAACACAAGGAAATTATGAAACAGAACACACTGTTTTCGTGTTCTTGGAAAAAATCATTTTCTTCACTGTCCACAGGCAGTTTCAGATTTAGAAGGAAAAAACCACTTCTCTTTTGCCCTCGCCAAGGGAAGTGCACAGCTGCTTCAACCTCACAGCCTGGGAGCTGCTGTTAGAGCAGCACGTTAAACAGAAACTGCCAGGTGTTTGCTAGTCAGATGTGGACGCCCTGTGCCAGGCAGGTATCTGCTCACTGCTCACTGAAAGAGGTTTATCGTGGCCTCGTCCTGCTGGTCTGAGTGTTCCTCTGCTGGCCTGGGCCTGGGACTCTCCAGCCCCTCGTTGCTGGGCCGAGCTGGTCGGAAGGGATGTCAGAGCTGCAGCAGGTAGGTGGCAGTGCAGTTCAACTCCCTCGTGTGTAGGCATTTTACACCCATCTCTTTGTGGTCTGGGCACAAGCGACTGAATCTTTCAGAGCCTCAACTTTGTCATCTGCAAAATGGGGAAGCGATAGCTGCCACAGTTACTGTGAGGACTGAACTAGGCAATCTACGTGAAGTACTTACTATAGGGCCTGGCGCGTGGCTTTCAACAAACGGTGGTCAGTATGTTTCGCCACTTATGAGCACTAATCAAATTTATCATTGTTGAGGAGGACTGAGGACTCTTTAAAGGAAGCTGAATTAAGGCAACACTGCACTGAAAAGTTACTGACAAATTACTGTAGATTTCAAAACATTCTTTTCTCATATTATGGAAGTATGAGCCAGTCAACTTTTGGCGGGAGATGTTGAAAACTGTTACCCTTTTAATTGGCTGCACCCCTGTCAGACCCCGCCTGAACCCCCAGGGCGGTGTGTTTTGAGATGTCTGCAGGGGGGTTAATTTTGGCAGAGGGGGGCTGTCTGATTTTGGTGGCTGTAGTAGATTGGGTTAAGGTACCCGCGCGCTGTGGCAGGAACCAAGCGGTTCTCAAAGACGGTCAGGTCGGCCGATGTGAACGCTAGTACCTCTGGAGGACGACGCGTGTATCGTCTGCACTCCGGGGACTGACTTCAAGTCCTCAAGGCCTTAGTGCGTCCTCCAAGGAGAAGCGGTCGCAGTGGGGAGAATCCACCTGACCTTCCGGTCGGGAGCCATTTCCGTTATAAAGCGCGGGGGTCCCAAGGGCCTCACCAGGTGGGGTCGGGAGGATTCACCCGGCCCGGCCCACTGAGGACCCTGCAGCCCTACTGTGCGTGTCGGACCGGTTCCCGAAGGCCGGCTGCCCAGGTGCACGCAGCCCGGGCGGCCCCTCCGCGCCGACCCCTCCGGCCCTGCGGCGCCTGCGTGGAGTTCCCCGGCCGGCCGGC